CGCATGACCCCAGCACTTTTTCCTGCCACTAGCAGGCAGTCAGATTCGATGATCTATTGAGGTCCCTTCTGACCCTAGCATCTATGAGTCTATGAATCGAACAACCAATTTAGGGTTAAAGTTTAGGTTTAACTTCTGTCTCAGATCTCATAGTGAATCAAGCTAAGTTATAGTCCTCCAGCACGCCAGAAAGCTTTGTGGCCCCCGCTTGCCTCCAAGCTGTCATAGAACAAAGGCAGCACAGCCTCAGCTCCCCAGCTGGGTCTGCAGGCAGCACTGGGGGTGAGTGAGGTAGCTTAGGCCCCTTCCCCAGCTGGGGTCTGACAAGCAGTTGGGTGGGGAAGCCCCCAGGCATAGCTTTCCCTCCCACTGCCCTTGCAGCCTGGTTCCTGCCAGCTGGGAACACCAGAGCCCCACCCCATCACCAGGCCCCCACCTGTCAGGCACAGGGGATTGGTGGGGGGGGAATGGACCCCTGATCCAGTTTGCCCCCATCCCAGCAGGGGTTGGTGTGGAGTGGAAACTCCCAGGTGTGGGCTTTCCCTCCACCCTTTCCTCATAGCCTGGCTCTGCTGGTTGGGAACACCAGAGTCCTGCCCCCTTGCCAGACCTTGACCTGTCAGCCGTGGGGGGTGTTGGGGATGGGAAGGAATGGACCCACTCCAACCTCTGATAGTGGGAGGCTGGGCTAGAGTGGGGTTCCATTCCCCTCTGCCCACCCCCTGTGCCTGACAGGCTGGAGGCTAGCAAGGGGGTGAGGCCTCCATGTTCCCAGCCTGGGGGAGATGGGAGGTGCTTGTGAGCACCCCCCCTGCTTCTGGCAGTGGCCAGTGCAGATATTTGCCTGTCTTGGACAGGGGACGACTGAACGCCAGTTCAGTTCGGTATCGGTTCAAGCTATGCAACTTAGAAAAACCAATGTAGATTGAACTGATTCCACCTCAGGCTTTTTGACTGTTTGTACTTAGCCCAGGTGTCTTGCACTCAAGTCATATAGGAAAGATCCATATATTACTCTTTTCTGTTTTGTGATGGGCAATTCCTGCAGAACTAAAGCTTGTATCAATCTTTTCTTTTAATCCATGGCAAACAGCAAAGTGGGTATGATCATGTAATCTGTTATACTCCTAAGTAATGTCCACTTTCTTGTTGCCCATTTTGCCTCCTACCAACATGCATATGACTTTTAAATGATTTTTTTCTCAGGAAATATTATAAACATCTTTTACATTCAAACCTAATTTTTATTATTTTCTTTTTATGTTTAAATCTCTGTCTCTAAGTGGGGTCATAATTGCTTTCAGTTTCATATCATCTCAAATTTCACTGGAGTTCTGTTCACTTCCTCTTTTAATTCCACAATCAAGACCTTCAACAAAGCTAACAGATTTTGCACTTTTCTGCTCTTGCTCAGCTTAATACATTTCAACCTAAGAGTATTATAGCTAACTGAAAGGTTTTTGACAAGAAATCTCAGTTCTGTAAAAATTCAAACATTTTCATTTTGATAACATTTATGAGGAAATCATTTCTATTTTTGTGTTTTGAAAAGATCAAATGTTCTATTTTACTACAGTAAAAATGTTTAATGCCATCACTTTGCTTAATTGTTTATAATATCATTGTTATAGTTGTATACTTTATTTAGTATTCTATAAAATATTTACTAAGTTATATGTTCAAAATTGTCAAAAATGTTAGATGATTCAGAATTTAACCTGAAAAATTCCAGAATTTTAAAGTTTTCATTTCTATTTAGAATAAAAACAAATTTTGAAATGTTAGAATTTCCTGGGTAGTAGCAGTTCCATTCCCTAACCAGCTGTAATAATTTATCCTTTATCTTGCTTTCAAATACATTTCCCACATAAGTTTTAATGAACACAGAACACGGGGCATTAGCAAACATCAAATAATTTTGTAATACTTTAAAAAAAATCAGTATCTTACTCTGTGAAACTTAACTTTTATAACCAATAAAGGTACTCTGGAGATTTTTTTTAAACTTATGTTGATAGTTTAGAGGTATGTTACTTGATTTAGAACCCATTTTTAGGAAATCACTTTGGGCACTTTTACATGTGCTCTGGGGGCAGGGAGGGTGGAGCTTTAATTAGAGTGGCTCCGAGAGCCAGTCTTATTAAAACACCACAGCTTCTCGTGTATCAGTGCCCCCCTACTTAAAAATGGCAGCAGAGGTGCTTGTGGCCCTGCCACCATTTTTAAGTGCAGGGACACTTATACATGAGACGCGGGAGGCTGCTGGAGTGTGGTACTTGCCATACAACGGCAGACTCGATTAATCGAGTCTGTTCTGACATGCTGTAATTACAGTGCATTGGAGCAGACTCAATGTTTGTGTACAGGCACCCCTTAGTATCAGTACAACACTTGGGTGCTGTTTTTGCATAACTGCCCCACTTCTGAAGCCTTCAGAACACTCAGATATATCATTAAACAGTACCTCCCCCTGATTTTATCAGTAACTTTATCTTGGATTGAATCACTGAATCATAGAAAGTAGAGTGGAAAAGACTGGAGAAGGCATCTAGTCCAATGCCCTGCTCAAGGCAGGATTATCCTTGACTAAAACATCCTACACAAAGATTTGTCCAACTTATTTTTGAAAACTTTGCAAACAACTGTCTTATACAACTATCAGGCATAATACTCAAAAAACTTATCAGCAAAACTCACCATTTATTTAGTTGCCTAATATTTGCTCACTATTTATTTATTAAACTTGAAAAATTATACCTAACACCACAATTTTGAGCGTTGCAGTTATAATATGAATTATTCCTGCTTTTCTTTTTCCTAGCAGGAAGTTAAATGTATTAGAAATGTAAGGGCAGAAATAAAAAATCACTGTGATTTTCAAAATGCTAATTTTTACCATGAGCCTGCCATTTCTCATTCTGTAATGACCTCAATCTGTGACACAGCTACCACAAGGCAAAAATCACTCCCAAAATACAATTTTTATTTTCTTTATAGGTACTTTTAAATTCAGCTTGGCAATAATGACTACATCTCAGAAATCAGGGACATGTTGGTAAATTGTAAGACTGACTAATAGTTCTGTCAGTACAAGTGGTCTGTATCAGAAAGGAATTCCTTATTCTCTAAGAACCTTATTTTACAGAATCTCACAGCTTGCTAGAGACCCAACGTAACCCACCCCACATTATTGCTTAAGCTGTAGAAATAAAATACAATAAAATACAATAAAATAAACTTACAATAATAGAAAGTTATTTCAGTACAATTCTTTAACATAAGGCTGATGTACTATGCATATCATAGTCCAAGTATGCAGTATATTTATTATTTTTAAACTGATACAATATGTCTGCTGATTATAGGAATTATAATAATAGTTAAGCAAATAAAACTCTGGTGTCAATTACATAGACTCCTTTCAAAAATTAAAATCTGCCAACCGTTGCACCTGAAGAACGTGTCACAGAAAGAATGACATAATATATATCAATCTTCCTAAATAGATTAAGTATTGGAACAGTGTAAGGGTAAAATAGAAGGACTAGTGGAGTATGCCTTTTAAATAAATAGAAACTTAGGTTAGTGGTCATTTTGCAAGCATTAGACTTAGTTTTGTTAGACACGCTCATGAGAAATTCCCCAACTGCAGACGTGTGATTTAGAAATGTGCAATAAATATATTTGGTTACAGATTAGTGTAAAACTAAGGGTCTATTTAATTCATGGTTTTGTGGTTTTCACAGAAACCATGAAAAACAGCATTGTCCATGATCACCAGGAAATATTGCATTGGCTGCGATTTCCCACGAAATCAACCTAAAAAGAAAAACCAGCGTATTATTCATGCACTGTTTTAGAATGTCCCAATGCTTACTGCAATACAAAAACAATGCAACAGTCACTGCAGCCATAGAGTTACTTTTTGCTAGTGATGTAGACTAAGTGAAGGCACCAGTCAGTGAAGTGATAATAAATTAAGGTTAGCATGGATTAGTGGTTCTAAACTTTTTGTAGAACATTACATATAATAATAAATTATGATGATTTGTTACAATTCACACTGTATTATACATTTATATTTATAATATATTTAAATTTAGATTTAAATGTAATATTTAGATTGATAACAATGTGATAAATTATATGATATAATTTACTTTCCAGAGAATTTGCTATTAAATTATATGGTATGTGCTTCTCCACTGATCAGTGGCGAGAGGTGGGGCTGCTGGGAAATGCCCATGAAATCAGTTCTTCGTGCTGTGACAAAGCTGCAAAAAATGCTTTGTCTTTCCGTGATTTAAGTAGACCCATGCATAACCAGAACTAATCAAAGTTCTTGAGGATAACAGTAGGCACATATCCTGAACACATTATCACATTTTTTTCTGAAATACCTAGTGGCAGAATACTATATGCATGTGCGTAACTGATGTGGTGATTATATGTGCTGATAAAATTACCGCAAACACGTGAAATTCAGTTCTGGATATGCATTCAAATTATGACAAGTAGTTCTCATGGATTTACAGTTCTACTTGACATGTAAAATTGTTTCATCTCTCATAGTGATTCCTTGATGTCTTGTAAAGGAGGGACTATATCTAACCCTAAACCCAACCAGTCCCACAGTTTCTATAGAACCATACCAGAATATCAAGACAGAATTTACCACATGTGAACTAGAAAGAATCTAAATATGAACATGGATAATCAAATAGCAGTCTAACTAGGTATAATTAGCAAAAGTGAACTCTCACTAAGATTGCATGATCCCAATCCACAGACACTTCTTACCGGTCTTTCATGTTCAAGAATTGATGACTTTCCTGGCTCATATTCAAAAATACTCCTTGGTTCTGAACGGAATTTGCGGGTATCTACTTTTCTGTCTGGAGGATCCCAGTCATTTCTAAACAACAAATACAAACAAGTTATGATACTTTCTTTTCCATTAACACCGCATTGCTCCATGTCAGCAGCTTAACTTAATTGTGAACCTACTTTTTTTCCCCAGGTTCAGCTATGAGACTTCTGGTCTTTAATATTCTAACATCCTGACATTTTAAGCTCAGCATAATCTCAGTTTACTCAGATCAAGTACACATAGTACAATGGCAAAAATACTGGTGCTGATTTGGTTGTTTTACCACTTCCACCATTACTTTTTGTCAGTAGAACTTCACTGGTGGGCAAAGATGATCCCAGCAGGGTGCAGCCCGCCGCCCCATCCTACGGCACACTTACACTGGGGAGTGAAATTCCTGGCACACTGGACATGGTGGAACAGGTGGTGGCCAGAGCTTCCAGCCGGAACAGGCAAAAACATGTAAAAAGCGGCAGCTGCAGCCTCTCCGCCCAGCTCTGTAGGGTCCCCCAAAGCATGGGACCTAGGGCAGTTGCCCTGATTCGCCCCACCCCTAGGGACAGCCCTACTGGTGGGAAACACATATTCCTACAGGTAAAATCTTATAGAGATTTATTCATATTTTTGTTACCTACATTATACTAATCCAAAAAATCTTTTCTGTACAAATTTCAGATTTACTGTGGAACAGGCATTGTATTGTACGTACAAATACAATAAAAATAAATGAAATTCTGCATGTAAAATATGATAGCTTTGCCTAATGACAAAGGTATTAAAAAAATAAATATATATACATATATATATATATATATATA